GGCTTTTGACACAAAGCAATGTGTGTAAGGGAGGAAAGGAAATGCAGTAAGATTTGACTCAGTACCCAGTGAATGTAGAAGGAGGCAGAGCACAGGAAAGTGGTCTGTTACAAGGCTAGGGATGGTACCAGGAGAACTGAAAGTGAAGACAGAAATGACAGTGAATCTGGCCTATCTTCTTCCCAGGCCTGGGTGCACACTAGGTTTTCAGAAAGACAGTGTTTATAGGTAGTCTCAGTTGATGTAAGGAAAGGAAATGGACAGAAATTGGGTTGGTTGGGGTCTGAGAGGATCCATGAGAAGGAAGAAAACTGAATTTATTCCAAGATTTTACATGTTCTCCAGGGAATTCTCCACTGCTTTTCTATAAGTAATCCAGTCTATCAATAACTGTATGTTGTGAGAGTAAACCAAATTCATATTACCATCCTTTATACCAAATGATGCCTGATAACTTTCCTAAAATTAGCTATTTGGTTTTGTGATTCCAGGAAGACTTTTCTGAAAAGTAACCTGCAAGCACAAGAATATCAGAACTGTATTGTCTGTAAGAACTCACTGAAACAGAAATTTTAAAAAATTGTTCTTTTACAGCTAAAAAAACTCTATGAAAGAACTGAACTTTTTAGCCTTTTTCTGGGTTCCATAATTCTCAAGGACAAATATTGACTTAAGTATCTGTCTCCATGAAAAAGGAGAGTTGTTTGTTGGATGATCTTAGCATTCTGTTATATGGGAGTGGGTTAACAAACACAATTCTAGATGAAGAAATGTTACACACGCACTTACATATAAACACATCACATATATCCACAAGAAAACACCATGTATATATGTTTATATATAAGACACTATACATATGCTAGGTTTGATTAAAAAACTAGAAACAGCCTCATTAGTCTGTACAAATATCATGCTTGGTCTGTCAGTGTTAGAACTCAATGAGATGAATATTGCTGTTTTACCTGTCTGAGTCCCTCACAGGTAGAGAACACTTAAACAGAGGCCTCACTGGTTAAGGATGCAACCACAAGGTGGCAGTAGACCTCAGCTGCTGGGGAGAATGCAGAGGATTCTCTTATTTGTATGCTGGTTGTGCAGGCACTGGGCAGAAACAGCTTTTTTCTCAGTAGCTAAGTGGATGAGTCAAGTGGTTGGATTGTTACTGAGATAGCACAATACCCTGGAAGCTGTAGGTGACCTGGTAGCCATCACGATCTACTCTGCATCTTAACTTAATTGGAAGAACAATGAAGACAATTGTTCCCACATTATTTCTGTTTCTATGGCTGCAGCTGTATGGTGAGTTAAGATTTTAGGATCACAGAATATTCAGTGGGCATTTGAGACATCCATGAGGAACTCTGTTTTATTCAGGTTTTCCCTAGTGACTCTAGAATAAGAGAATCCTGGAAAGTGATGACCTGATTATATTTCCCTTTCTTTCCATCTCTTTGTACAGAAGTGAGCATAGGAGAGCAGGTGGAGCAGCGTCCTTCCATCCTGACAGTCCAGGAGGGAGCCAGCGCTGTCATCAACTGCACTTACACAGACAGTGCCTCATCCTACTTCCTTTGGTATAAGCAAGGACCTGGAGAGCATCCTAAGCTCATTATTGACATTCGATCAACTATGGAGAGAAAGCAGGACCAAAGACTGATAGTTTTACAGGACAAGAAAGCCAAACACTTCTCCCTGCACATCACAGACACCCAGCCTGGGGACTCTGCCATGTACTTCTGTGCTGCAAGTGCACACTGCTCCCCAGGCACCTGCAGTCTGTCCTCAAACCTGACAAAGGGCCTGGAGCCCCATGCACATCCTGTGTCACAGACCTTCCTGTGCAACATTTGTCAGCTGTTAGTTGTGAAAAGTCAACTATAGTGTAGACATTAAATACACAGAAAAGAAAGTTAGCTTCAAATCACTTAAAATAATTTATGATAGTTTCTCCTTTATTTTGTAAAAATGTATTTAAAATTAAAATACAATTTCATGATTCTCTTTTATCTGTCCTCCCTTCAGCTCCTTCTATGTCCCTTTCCTCATTCCCTCTCAAATTCATAGTCTCTTTTCCTTTAATTATCACTATTAGTATCATATATTTGTATAAATTATTCAACTGTGTCTGATTAGTGTTGCCTGTATTTATATAATTGGGCTGACCATTTGGTATTTGATAGGCAGTTAGGCGGATTAACCTCAGGGATGAATAATTCTCCCTGTCTTCCTTAATTATCTGTATTTCTTTGTTCAAAGAGTGATTATCAGGAACTAGACAAGGCTGTCCACTCTCTCCATATCTCTTCAATATTGTACTTGAAGTTCTAGGTAGAGCAATAAGACAACAAAAGGAGATCAAAGGGATCGAAATTGGAAAGGAAGAAGTCAAACTTTCACTATTTGCAGATGAAATAATAGTTTACAAAAGTGACCTGAAAGACTCTACCAGAGAACTACTAGAGTTGATAAACACTTTCAGAAAAGTGGCAGGATACAAGATTAACTCAAAAAAACTCAATAACTCTCCTATATACAGACGATAAATGGACTTGGAAAGGAATCAAAGAACATCACCCTTTACAATAGCCACAAAAAACATAAAATATCTTGGCGTAGCACTAACCAAACAAATAAATGACCTGTACCGCAAGAACTCTGAGTCTTAAGAAATTAAAGAATATGCCAGAAAATGGAAAGATCTTCCATGCTCTTGGATAGGTAGTATCAGCGTAGTAAAAATGGCTACCTTGCCAAATCCATCAACAGATTTAATGCAACCCCATCAAAATATCAGCACAAAACTTCGCAGATCTTGAAGGAATACTACTCAACTTCATATGGAAAAACAAAAGACACAGGATAGCCAAAACAGCCCAGTACAATAAAGGAACGCCCAAAGGTATCACCATCCCTCACTCTAAGCTCTGTTATAGAGCTATAGTCCTGAAAACAGCTTGGTATTGAAAAAAATTTGGCAGGTAAACCAATGGAGCCAAACTGAAAACCCTGATATTAACCTACACACCTACAAACATATGATTTTTGACAAAGAAGCTAAAATTATACAGATCTAAATAGAGAATTCCTTTTAAAGGAATGTAAAATGAATAAAGACACCTAAGAAAGTGCTCAACCTCCTTAGCCATTGGGGAAATGCAAATCAAAACAATGCTGAGATACTATCTTACTCCTGTAAGAATGATTCAAATCAAAAACTCCATTGACAGTTTATGCTGGAGAGGATGTGGAGAAAGGAGAACACTCCTCCACTGCTGGAAATCAGTATGGCGGATCCTCAGGAAAATGGGTATCAGTCTACCACAAGATCCAGCAATTCCACTATTAAGGATATACCTAAAAGAGGCACATTCATACAACAATGTCATCTGTTCAACTATTCATAGCAGCATTGTTTGTAATTGCCAGAACCCTGAAGCTAACTAGATGCCACACAACTAAACAATGGGTGGAGCTGGGATTGACATGTAAAACAACTTGTTTCTAATTTAAATTGAAAAAAGAAAGAAAAAATAGTTAGAAATACAACAACATCTGGACTGGGAAGATCAGGATGATAGTCCAAGCTGCAACTTTTGTTTCCTATTCCACCCAGGGTACTGTGTTCTCCTGCTCTTGAGGGTAAAGTTGATTTCCCCACATCTGATGAACATGAAAATAAACATAGCTCACTTCTTAAATGTATTTCTTAGTTAAAACAGACTGATTGTAATTATTATGGGTCACTGGTGTATGTCATGGTGATGGATTTTCCTGTAGAAAAAATGTAAAGAATGCATACATAAGCTAAGTGAACACAGATGTAATTATTGAGTTCTGTGTTGGGACAAAAATGACCCATAAGACAATTAAAGCAGTTACCAAAATGACATCTAAACAATTATATAAATGCACCTATGAACATCATAACAAGAAACTGGGAGGGCGTGTGTCTCTGCTTTGTTTAATCCTGGTATTTTATTAGTAGACTCAAGGTAAACGCTGAGAGAATCCCAGTGTAGGCAAAGGCAGGAAGTGAAGTCCGTTATGTAAAGTGAGTTCATAGAGCAAGTCAATTTTTGTTAAGAGGAAATGTTTTAAGGGCGAAGGGGAGCCTTTTTCAAAAGTTCAGGTCATTCCATATAGTTAGAAACATGTGTTTCTTCAATTGTCCTGGAATCCCGAAGTATGTTAGTATTTTTTAATCAGTGTGACTTATCCTCCAAAACCCTTAGTAACAAATGCCTAAAATTGACATTCACTAAGAAAAGAGAAAACAGGAACACTGAAGTAGCAGTGATTCTCAAGCCATTCCAAGAGTTCACTGTTTTCATGTCTTGTATCAAATATTATCACATTTAATTGTTTACTCTCTGGCCTTCAGGAGGCAAAATGTCCTAATACTACAGTATTTGCTGTTTGAACTTAAGTTTAAGACTCATTGTTCCTTTTTTTTTTTTTGGTTTTATGAGACAGAGTTTCTCTGTATTGTTTTGGAGGCTGTCCCGGAACTCGCTGATTTCTTTTCTTGGCAAGCTAAGCATGTAGAACATTGTCTAGATGCCACTAAATATGATTCTTCTCCATGCTTTATGAATGCGATACTCCTCATACTCAGGAAATTTAAATTTTCACATTTTTATACCAAAAAAAATTTGATCCCTAAAATCATACAAGAGCTTGTCTTTAAGGTGACATATCTGTTATGTTTTCTTTTTGTTTTCCTGAAGCAAGGACACATGGAGGCCCAATGACACAGATGAAAGTTACAGTGACCCTCTCAAAAGAGGACTTGCTTACTATTCACTGCAACTATTCATTTTCAGGATACCCAACCCTGTTTAGATACATGCAGTATCCCGGAGAAGGTCCACATCTCCTCTTCAGATCCTCAAAGGCCAAGGAGAAGGAAAGCAGCAGAGGTTTTGAAGCTACATAAGATAGATAATCCTCTTCCCTCCACTTTCAGAAAACCTCGGTCCAAGAGTCAAGAGTTGGCTGTGGACTACTTTGCTGTGGATGACAGTGGCAGAAACCACAGGGGTTGCTGAGCACAAACTCAATACCCAGGGACCTGGCTGATGAGCTCCTGCCAGTGGAATCACTTTGATTCCTACGTGCTGTGTGCCTCTCTGTTTCTCTGGTTGGCACACAAATCATACAAACGGCCACAGTAGAAGAACAAGAAGTAGAGTCTTCCATCCTCAACCATTGATTGGGACTAAAGCAAAATCTGATGCAAACGTGCCTCATGCAGAGCCTGGATCCCCCGTAAAGCCCTGTGACAAAGGAAGTTGTCTGCTTGTCCTAGGAGATGAAGTCTGTTCTCCACACTTTCTTCCATAGCTCTCTGATAGAGTTGGCTGTATTTTATATCTACAGGGAACAAGACATGCCCAGAGAGGGGACATCTGCATAATGTTTTCTGGAAGGATGGAGGGAGAGGTGACAGGAGAACCCAGTGTGCCCAGGCCTAGGGTTCCTATAAAGAAGGAAGGAAGATGGAGCCAGGCCTGCAGCACATGCGCAGAGAGGAAGGGACGTCAACTGTGCAGAGAGTTCTCCTTTACTGTTAGTACGATCAGGCTGGTGCTCAAACACGAGAGTGTGAGGAGCAAGGGTGGGATTTTTGAGTTCTTGGAGCAGTTACAGGGCAGCTGGCTCTCTAAAGAGCAAAGACTTAATGCCCTCTCCCATAAAATATATGCAGCATAAATAGGACACGGTCTACACTCTACTAAAATGTTCATGCAGTTTCTTTTCCTTTTAGAATGCAACGTCACATTCAGGCTGTGATACACAATATTCCACAGGATTTGTTCAGGCCTAAACTGACAACATGAGCGTTTTGTGGGGGAAGGTCCCAGCTCTATGTAGCAGCAATGCTGGTTTCTGTTTAACTTGCTGAACTTCTCAGATGAGGTCCAAGTCTTTCTGAACAGGAAACACGTTCCTCAGAAAACTTCATAAACCAGATTCTGCCATCTTCAAGTCTCAGCTCAGCTGTCACTTCTGTCAGGAAACCAAAGATTCTTGTGTAAAGATGTATGACCTTTATGCTGCCATAGTCCGGTTACTCTCCCATAGTCCTCCTGTTAGTCTATCATAGTCCCCCTGTTACTCTATCATAGTCCCCCTGTTACTCTATCATATCCTACTGTTACTCTATCATAGTCCTCCTGTTACTCTATCATAGCCCTTTCTACTCTAACATAGCCCACCACCTATTCAATTGTATCCCATCTCTATCTGTATTATAATCCTCACTTTAAAATATGATAACTCCTTTGTTTCATTGACATATTCCTCACCCATCTCTGCCAGAGTCCTTTCCTAAAACTTCCACAGTTCCCTCTTACTCTATTATACTGCCTTGCTGTATAATATCTCTCTTATGCTACTTATTCCAATATATCACTGTGGTCATCTCTCTTATGTTGAGACTCATAAAACTCATAAACTATGCAGTTCATGTGTGTGTCAGCATGTTCAATGTCTATTGTACCAATTAGAAAACAATCTAAGATGTCAATGTGTTGATTCAATTCATAGCAGCCTTATTCTTAGCATATAGATTTGTGAAAGGTCTGCTGTAATCAGTTCAGATGCCTGAGTTAGGAGACAAACAAGCAAATGTCACTTGATTCTTCTCTGTTCTTTTTCTCTTCTCCTTATTCCTACCTGAACAACTCTGACTTACTGTGTGCTCTCTGCTTGCTTGCATGTTGCACTATATAGGACTTTCTACCCTCATTCAGATCTAGTCTTTCTGTACTTGGAGCCATCTATGTCCACCCTGAGTCCTAGTCTTCACTCACATAATTCAACTCAACTTAGCAGCTGTAGACAGAAGGCCTGAATCAAACCCTAATGCAAGTAACACATGGAGAAAAGAAGGTGTAATTGTAAGATTTGAGTAAATATAAAATAATGCTAAATTCAGAAAATGATAAGGACATTTTGAGTTTTATTTCAAACCACAGCAAGATATAAATGTTCCAGGGAATGATTTCTTCTTTTATATTATATTTACTTATTTTCTTTTCCACATTAAGTATAATTACATATGTTTCCTTCTTCATTTTCCTTTTACAGACCCATGTCATGGATCTCTTTTTATTTGTCATTATTACACAAACAAACACAGACACAGATATACATACATATACATACATACATGTATACATACACACATACACATTTCTCAGTGTTTAGTGTTACTCATAGGTATATAATTTCAGGGCTCGCCATTTGGTCTTGGTAACCAATTAGGGGGTTCAATCCTGTGGAGGACTATTTCCCACTTTCAGCACTTCTCAGTGCTGTAGTTGTTTCTCTATGGGCAGGGTCTCAGGAAACTTCCTATTTCCACGTTAGCATGTCTATTGGTGTTGTACCATTCAGGTCTTATTTAGATACAGAGAACAAGTGAGGTACCAAACCCCAACTGGTATATTTAAAAGAGCAAGGAAGAGAGAGTGGAAAGGTTGAAGGAGCTAGAGGACCAGGAAAGTTGCTATGAAATTGTCTCCTAGAAATGACAGGAAACCTCACTCAGGAGATTTTTTAAAAAAATACAGTTAAAGGTTTCTGTGGTGACCAATGATCTGATAAAACCATCTTTCCATTCTCTCTCTGCTGTGACTATACGGTTCTTCCCACTAGTCATCTGGGTGTGCAGCACTAATTTCACATGAGTTCTCCCTGTTGAAGTACATCATGTGCTTCCTGTTCATGTGTGTCAACAAAGTAGTTTATATTAATGTTTATAAATAAATATGTTTTCTAACATTCATGAAAAGGCCAAACTGACCACCATTAGGAATGCTCACCCTTCAAATAGTAATTCAACGTTCCTTGTGTATATTTTGACTCACACCATAGGACCTTTTCTGCCAGGGCCCCAACCCATTGGGTTGGACTCAGTATAAGAGAGTGAGACCCCATAAAAGTATATCAACTTTCTCTCAGGAACCGTGTCTCAAGATCCCAGGCCATATGGTCTCACTCAGTAAGACTGACCCAGCTCCAATGTGGCTCTGCCCCTTTCAAATCCCTCCAATCCATTACGTTGGAGCTTCAATTCAGGATTCAGCATCAGTGAGCTATAATCTCATGTCAAAGACACAGCAAACAACCTGACTGGAGATTGAAGGTTTCATAGGAAAAAGGAATAATAATAAAATTAAAGACAGTATGTCCCATCTCCAAAAACCCAACATGATTTAGTGGTCCCCAGTGAGATGAAGTTAGATGAAAATAGAGGACCTGAATCAAAAAATAACAGTGAAGATGGTAAAAGAATTCATGAATTCCCCAAAACCTCCCTAAAAAGCTAATAGTGGACATAAATGATAACAAAGCCAACTTTGTGCACATTCTCACTTTCCTCCTCCTCCTCCTCCTCCTCCTCCTCCTCCTCCTCCTCCTCCTCTTCTCCTTTTTCTACTATTCTTCTCTCTGTCTCTCTCTGTATTGTCTCTGTGTCTCCCACCTCTTTCTCATAAAGTATGGCTTCTGTTGGAAACTACTCTTCCATGTTCATATACCGGGGATCACACCATTAAAGAAAACTAATTCTCCTCTCAGCAGTTATCAAATTCCAGTTACTTTCAGGTATGGATGGGATTCATGTCCTCCTCCCATCTTCTATACTAGAATTTTGTCTTATTGAGCTTTCACAGATCTTGTGCACACTGTCTCAATTTCTGTGAGTTCATATGCCCATCTGCCTAGTTTGTTCATAAACCACTGTTTCCTTGAAGTCGCCCACTACTTCTGGCTCTCACAATCCTTCCATGGTTCTTTCTGAGAAGAACCCCGAGTCTTAATAGAAAAGGTAGTATATGGATGTTCTATTAGGACTGAGGATTTAAACGTCTTTTATTCTCTGCACATTGATCAGTTGTAGTTCTCTATGTTAATCACCGTCTACCATAAAAATAAACTTCTCTAAATGAGGATTGTGCGTTGTACTGATTTATTGATATAACAACATGCCATACAGAGCCTTTATAAGGTTAACTCCACTGAATAGTACATTAGTGAAACCATTATAGAATTCTGTATAACGTTTCATTGCTAAAAGTTTCCTAAAAATACAAATTCCACATAACCCGGATTTACCACTCCTAGCAGTGCATCTGAAGGAATCAAACTCAGTTCACAATAAGTATATGTGCACATCATGCTGTTTGGGTACTGTTCACATTAACCAAATTGTGGAATCAGCTCCACTGTCCACCAGTGAGTGAAAAAGAGGGAAATGGGAAGTGAATATGAGTAACACATCTTATACTTGTGTATTACAATGTTACAATAAGCACAGTATTTTTTATAGTTAGTACAAGAAATAAAAAAGGGCCTGGAGATACTGTTCAGTCAGTGACATGCCTGTCTCACCAGCATGAAGAACTGTGTCCAGATACCCAGATCACAATACTATCCAGAACTTCACCCACTTGTGTAGCCCTAGCACTGGTGAGGACCTAACCAATCCAGTCTGTGGAGTCCACTGACAAGCCAGACTGTGATGCTGAGCTCTAGGTTCAGAGAGACCCAGAGGCAATTTCTCATGTGTCTGTGTATGAGAGAGCGTGGGCAGGAAAGAAGAGAAGGGCTTGTTGATATAGCAATGATATCCAGGACAGTTATTTTTTAATTGGTGGATCAGGGTTGGTTTTAATATGTCTTAAATAATAAAACAAGGTGAAGAGTAATCAAAGAAAACACCTGATGTTGACCTCTAACCTATCCACAAGTACACATACAAACACTGAGGAGTTCACATTAACCCTACACACAAACACAAATACACACATAACATGTACAAAAAGAAATGAATGAGTAAATAGACAGATACATGAATAAAACATAGCTAGGCTGTGACCTGGAGCCATGTATGTTAAGCCACATTTAAAGCTATTTTATTTTAAACAGATCTTTTTAATTACAGAAAACTTAATATTGATGATGAAGGAACAGTGCAGGGCTGTATGAGCTGACACAGAAACTAGATAAAGAACATAAACCATTATTTGATTGTTACAGAAAAGTGACTAGTGAAATAACTTTTATTTGCTGAAAATACATTGCCATTTTGTGGAAAATGTTTGCATACTCATACATAAACATGAACAAATTCTTAAAAACTAGTGCTTGTTTTAATAGTTTACCTAAGAAGAGTATTGCTTAAATTATTTCTTTGAAACTGACATGTATCCACATGGTGGCAGTATCCTCTTAGAGACCAGGAGGCTGTTTCTCCCATGGTCCTTTGAGTCTGTGTGTGTGTGTTGTGGGAGTGGTAATAGGGTGGAGCATTTTGCTGTGGCAGTGAAAACTAGGGCCTTCTTTCTAATTGGGTGAACAGTTTGGGTTTTTTTCTTTAATCCGTTTTACAGCAGAAGAATTTGAACTCCTTAATGCCCGTCCTTTTTTATGTTTGAAGTGTGAATCTTCATTGAAAATAATAATGCATTCCTTAAGTGTTTTGATAGTGGTGCTCTGGCTTCAACTGTGGGGTGAGTTTGACCTTTTCTATGGGACCATAAAAACACAATAAGTGAGGGTATTGCCTTCACATGTTTTAGGAGAGAGGAAAGAAATTCTAATGTTCTCACGCTGAAACAAAAGCAGTTGGGAGGCCCATGGGGAAGCCATTCTGGGCTGTTAGCATCCATATGCATCCAGTCCTGTGTGTCTGACCTCTGTTTTTCTGCACAGGCGTGAGCAGCCAGCAGAAGTTGCAGCAGAACCCAGAATCCCTCAGTGTCCAAGAGGGAGACATGGCCTCTCTCAACTGCACTTCCAGCGATCAAAATTCTCAGTATTTCTGGTGGTACAGACAGTATCCTGGGAAAAGCCCCAAGGCTCTGATGACCATCATCTCCAATGGTAAAAAGGAAGAAGGCAGATTCACCATTCATCTCAATAAAGCCAGCCTGCATGTTTCCTTGAACATCAGAGACTCTCAGCCCAGTGACTCAGCTGTCTACCTGTGTGCAGTGAGCACACATTGCTGCCCAGGAACCTGCAGCCTGCACCTAAACCCACTTGGCCCCAGGAAGCGCTCAGATAGAGCTCAGGCCACAGGCTGGGGAAACTTTCTTTTCTATAGGCAATGGGGAATAAAAGCAGGAGTAGAGAGGGTTTGCTTGATTAGGAAAGTAATTGACATTTCCTAAAGAGAAAGGCACACAATTGGTTTGGGTGGAATATTTTCCACTCTTCTCTTACATTGAAGGTTTTACAACAATGTACACACTCTTCATGTGCCAATCTTGTTGAGCTGGACTACATGCACATGGCAATGAGACTCTTCTCATGCCATGTCACAAGGACCACCATCACCTCTACAGCACTCTGACTTCCTTCTTTTTAAAATCTTTCAATTAAAAGAGTATTTGTTTTCTAATTTTTTAAAAACATGTTTATGAATTATCTGGTTTCTCTAGAGCAATTTCATACATATGTACTTTTGGTTGACCCTCCCCAGGCTAATTCCCTCTCCCATTTCTCTATTCCCCATTCTTAATGAAACCTCCTTCCTCCCAGAATTCCCCCTTCCACTTCCAGGTCATGTGCTTTATTCCCTTCCACTCGTCTTCATGCCACCTTTAACTCTTGTGGGCAGCTGTCTAACTTCCTGACATCTACAGACACTCTAGTTCATGATACATACAGATAAAAATTACAAGCTAAGATTTGCATGTGTTTGTCCCTGAGGCTTTGATAACTCACTAAAGTATTTTCCAACTCCATTCGTTTTTATGCAAAATCTATCATTTCATTTTTCTTTATTGAGGAATAATATTCATATATATGTATATATTGTTGAACATTCTAGAAGACCTTTGCAGATCTTGTCTGTTGGACTTGGATTTTGAGGACCTGAAGGAATTGGGCAGACTGCAGTCTAATGCTATAGACAAGCTTACATCAGTTTGAGTGCACTTTTATTAACAAATGTAACAAGGAAAACAATGATCCAAAGAAGGTTGTTTGAGTTCAGCAAATCATGATCAGAAAAACAAGTAAATAAATGCCAATAAGCATATATTAAACAGCAACATAGCATCTCTTTCCTTGAACTTTCTGATAGAATGATTTAAACACCATTTCCTGGAAACATTGAAAGCATGACAGAAGGCATACCCTTATTGAGGGTACATTGAAGATTATCTTCTATAGCTATGATCTGCCATGCATGTTATAGTTATAAGACCTAAGTATGTCTTATAAATTGAATGCAAATGTTTCACATAAGAGGCAGGAAATCCTGTCCAAGAACAGTCAAGTGAACAAAATGCATTTGAGGTAAAAAGGCCCTCAGCCTTTTCCCCTGCAGCCCCTCACAGTTCCCCTATAGCCACTCACAGTTCCCCTTGGCACTGTTCACCACGCATCATTTGAGTGTTACAAATTTATAATATAAAATGTCCACTAAAATCTCATTATCCATTCTTTTATTGGTGAGCATCTAGGCTGACTTCATGAAATTGTGAATAGAGCAGTGTTAAACATGGTTGAACAATTGTTTTTGAGGCTGGATTCAGAGTCCCTCAAATATGTATCCAGGAATTACATAGCTGGACCCTACAACACTTCCTCTTTTAGATTTCTGAGAATGTGTAACACTGATTTACATAGTTGTTACATCAGTTTGTGCTCCACCCAGGTGAAGGAAGACTCCCTAGTTCCCAAGAACTTCACCAGTATTTGCTGTAATTTTATTACTTGATGATATATGTTTTAATGGGTGAAATGAAGTATCAAATTAGTCTAAATTCCATTTCACTGATGACTCTTCATTTAAGAGCTCTCTGTTCAGTTCCATAGCTCATTTTTGGGTGATTTATTGTTTAATGGTTCAATCTTCTGTCAGATGTATAGCTCACAAGATATTCTCTCATTTGTACTTTGTCTCTTTGCTCAGTTAACTATCTCATTTGTTGCCTCCCTGTATTTATTTTCATTAATTTATGTTTGAGACAGGATGTCATTTTGGAGGCTAAGCTGGCCTAAAATTCATGATCTTCCTGTGTCACCTTCCCAAGTTCTGGGATTATAGGTTTGTGCCACGAGAAGTATCTCCATTTATCACTTATTAAATTAACTGCTGAAAAGGTTCCCTCACATAACATATTCAATATGATGCTCACTGAAGCTTCCCCCAAGTTCAATGGTTCTGATTTTATCTTTCATCAGTACATGGAAATGCTTTCATAAATTAACAGATCTGCCTTAATGTTAGTAGTAACTTCTTTTTCCTTAGTCTCTCAAGATATTTGATGTCATATCTGAGACACACTAACAAAAAAGACCTGCAAAGGGAAGAAAAGAGTCAACAGTGTCATGAGAAAGTGATTAGATGCTGTTTTAGTTACAGCTCTCACTGCAGTGCTTTTCTCAGCTGCAACCACACTCCCAGATTAGACAACTACAGGTGAGATGGCTAAAGGAAGGATCAGAGTTCAGAGTATGAGAACTGGATGAAACAATAAGAGAATAATACCATGTGTGTCTTTCTGAGTCTAAGATACCTCAATCAGGTATGTTTTTTCTAGTTCAATATGCCTAAAAATCTCATGATGTCAATTATTAAAGGGATGAGTAATACTCCATTGTACAAATGTACCACATTTTCTTTATCTATTCTGTACTGCTTCCAAAAACAGCTGTCAATCAAGATTACTATACTAGAAAATAATCCTTGAAAACTGAAAACATAAAAATCTATCCCAAGTGTAGTGAAAATTATCTATGATATTCATGTCAGAATTACAGGATATTTTAAAGGAATATTGCACACAGGTGAGGGTGCATTACCAATATGTTAATTTAAAAAACACTGTCCAAATTACAGAACATCCAGTATGTCTTGTAGGGAGAGGGCATATGTGTTCTTTTCAGTAGAAGTTAGCTCTATGAATGTAGGACATGTATTCAAATACCTTTAAATCTACTGGTGGAAGTCAAGGAAAATGTGTGCAGTCACCAGAGTGAAAGTGATTTGGTAAGGTAAGTGGCTGTTGTCACATCACCAGTGTGACAGGACTCTGCAGACACCTTGGTGCCATGGTGGTGAGGCTTGTGCAATGACAATTCTCAAAAGATTACTAGAATACTGTGAGTTTCATGTGTCAGTGTTGTAGGGGATCAATTATGTTTCCCATCTGAGTTTTCCATTCTCTGAGAAACTCCTGTGGGTAGATACAGGCTGGGGTTGAGCTGGCCTTACAACACATTCATTATACCAGATATCCCCACATCTCCCCAAACAGTCTTTATTCTCCTTACTCCTTTAAGCTCCATCATGATCATAATAGACTGAACCTCTGAAAATGTAATTGAGGCAATTCGATTAAATGCTTACTTTATAAAGTAGGTTACAGTCTAAAAGTTTCCATAGAACCAGATTTCTCTTTAAACCCGTATTGGTTCCCTCTATTAAGGGATCTGTTTTCTTGCTCTCCTCTAATCCTCCCCAGACTCAGTCTGACTCAGTCTTTCTGATTCCTAATGTTCTCCACCCCCTCTTCTCCTCCCCTTCTCTTTTTCCTACCTACTTCCCCTATCCCCCCATGCTCCTAATTTGCTCAGGAGTTCTTTTCACTTTCCCCTTCTACCAGGAACAATTTATTTCTCTATTACCTTCCTGTTTCTCTATTGGTGTGGATTTTAGAAAAGAAAAGAATGTCAGGAAGAATCAATGAAACATAAACAAGATTGACAAACTCCTGTCCAAACTTTCTAAATGGCAGTGACAGAATCTCCAAATTAAAATATCAGTAAAGAAAAGTTTTACATAACAATGGACACTGAGGAAAATCAGAGTAAAATTAGGCCATACTAGAAAATATTTTATTCCTTAAAATTGCAAAATATGAAAAAAAACCTGCAATATTTTTGTTTTCTGTGACATACCAAAATTAAATAAAGATAAGTTAAATAATAATAAGAAATCTATATTTCCTAAGTGTCCTAGCCAAAAAAAGGCTAGAACCAGGAGTTTGCAGTGCAGGATTTTACCAGAATTTCAAAGAACAGCTAAAACCACTACTCTTCAAATTCTTCCACAAAATAGAAAACAAAGTTCTTTTCTAAGGCTACTGTTATCCTGATTCCAAAATTACACAAAGATACAAAAAGAATGAAAACTACAGCCCAATCTCCCTCAGGAACATTGATGCAAAAAAATACACCATAACATACTGGCAAACTGAACCCAAGAACAAATTTAAAAATATGGTCATCTCATTAGATGTTGAAATGTAAATATGGCATTCTTACTGAAATCAATCTACAGATTCTAAGCAGTTCCCAGTAAAATTCTTCACAGACCTCAAAAGAACAATACTCAATTTAATATGGAAAAATAAAAACACCCAGGATAGCAAAAACAGTCCTGTATAATAACTGATCTTCCAGGCGTATCACCACCACTGACTTTAAGCTCTATATACTAATAAAAAAGCATGCTATTTGCAGAAAAACAGACAGGTGGATCAAGGAAATTGACTCAAACCCCTGATTTGAATCCACACAACTATGAACACCTTGTTTTTCATTTATATCAGAAACAGAATTGTTTCACAGATCAATCCCAGCTCCCTTTCCCTGTCCTGGTCCTCTGCCTCACTCCAACACCCCAAACCCCAAGCAATCCACTCTTCACTCTCCAGAGAGCCTGCAGCCCTTCCTGGGTATCTCCAATGTATGTCATATCATTCAGGGCAGGGCCTAGGCCCTCCCCCATGTATCCAGGCTGAGAGAGTATCCCACCATGTGGAATGGGCTCACAAATTCCACTCCGCTGCCAGGGATTTACTTATGTACCACACAAGGCCCCACAGATTTCTGAGGCCTCCTCACTGATGCCCAAATTTAGGGGGCTCGGATTGATCCCAAGCTGGCCTCACAGCCATCAGTCTGGTTTCTAAGAGCTCTTCCTTGTTTGGGACAAATGTTTCTGTTGGTTTCACCCACCTGGGCTTGATCCCTTTTCTCATCACTCCTCTGTCTCTGCAACGTGTTTCCAAGAATTTAGTTCAAGGTTTAGCTGTGGGTGTCTGCTTCTGCTTCTATCAGTAGCTGAATGAAGGCTCTAGGATGGCATACAAGGTGGTCCACTGTCTCATTATCAAGGAAGGACTTTTAAGGTAGCCTCTCCGCTATTGCTTAG